CTAATTCACACTATCACCAACAGTGTATAAGCATTACTTTTTCTCTGCATCTATGCCAGCATCCATCATTTCTTGATTTTTTAATAATGGTCACTCTGGTGTAAAATGGTATTTCATTGTGGTTCTGATTTACATTTCCCAGATGATTAGTGATACAGAGCATTTTTTCATGTTTGTTGGTCATTTGTATATATTCTTTTGAGAGATGTCTGTTCATGTCATTTGCTCAGTTTTTTAATGGTGTTATACATGGGGGACCCCAAAATATGGAACTTATAAAATAATCTGTACTTATATGCTTGAACTTCAGTCATCTTCAAAGTACTCTCCATTTGATGATGCAATATACCTATTAAGATGCTTTTCCCACTGCTCAAAAGCTTTTGAGTTCATCCATTTTGATGCTTTTTACTGCTTCTGCCATTTTTTACCTCTTCCACACTGGCCAAACATTTCCCTTTCAGGACTTTTTTCATCCAGAGAAACAAACAAAAAATCACTTGGGGTGAGATCAGGTGAATAGGGAGGATGGGAAAAGGGGGTCATGCCATTTTTGGTCAAAAATTGCTGATTACTGACTAAGGTTTCAAGCAGGTGTGCTTGTAAATCACCCATCATGAAATGGGCACATATTGAATCTCTGAAAAAAAGAAAAAACAAACGCACTGAAGCCAAATGCAGCCTCACAACAAATCTAGCTGGTGCACTGATGCTGACGGGTTCCTAGAACACTTATCTAGCAGGGGAATTCTGTACTCCAAGGGCCCCACACTCAAAAAAATAATTAATTTTTGGGGTATCTCCCCTTGTAATCTTCTGTGTTCTGTGTTCTGTGAATAAGAAGTCTGGTAAGCTCTGCTAGTTTCTCTGTTCTAGGTCCCCTAAGACTAAAATCAAGGTGTCAGCCAGCCTGGGCTCTTATCTGGAATCTCTAGGGGAAGCTTCCAGGCTCACTCAGGCTGTTGGAAGAATCATTTCTATGCAGTTGTAGGACTGAGGTTTGTTTCTTTGTTGGCTGTTATATGAGGGCTGCTGTCAACTTAGAGGCTTCTCACTAGCCTTGCAAATAGGTTCCTACATCTCAGAGCTGCAATGATGAGTCAAATCTTTCTTGTGCTTGAAATCTCTGACTTCATATTCTGACACATCTTTTTTTCTGACTCTTCTGCCTTCCTCTGAGCCAGAAATCACCCCTGCAATCTAATCTATGTAATAGATTGGGACTACCCAAAGAATTCGGAATAACCTATCTTAAGGTCTATAACTACATTACATCTACAAAGACCCTTTGCAGCAGTACCTAGACTAGTGTTTGATTGAATAACCAAGGGACAGAAATCATGGAGGACCATCTTCAGAAATTCTGCCCACCACTCTTCATAGATGGGAATTGTGCTTGTTGCACCTTGGTTAAGATAAAGACCAGCCGGGCTCAGTGGCTCAGCCTGTAATCCCACACCTTTGGGAGGCTGAGAAGAGTGGATTGCCTGAGCCCGTGGGTTCGAGACCTGCCTGGGCAGCGAGACCTCATCTCTACAATAAAAATCAAAAAATCAGCCAGGCTTGGTAGCACATGCCTGTAATTCCGGCTACTTGGAAGGCTGAGGCGGAAGGATCGCCAGAGCCCAGCAGGTCGAGGCTGTGGTGGCCGGGAGCGGCCACTGCACTCCAGTCTGGGTGACAGAATGAGACTCCAACTCAAAAAAAAAAAAAAAGATAAAGACCAGTGGGATGAGGCAAAGTAAGGAGAGCGGAGAGAAATAATGTTTGGCTCTAGGAAGGATTTGGATTATATTTTCATTTCAGTGAGAATCTATTGGAGTATTTTTATCTAGGGAAGCAATACAAACTAATTTATAGGTGAAAATGGTCAGTATGGTGAGAGGGGAAAGCTTCTTTGTTAATTGTGTCTCATACTGCTAAGCAGGGCCACGGATGGGAAACAATGTGTTAACCTTGGTGTGGGTCTGTGTGTGTGTCCATGGGAAGAATATAGACAAGAACAATAGGAAAGGAGGTTGACAAATGAGGAAGGAGATAACAAGTGAGACAGCAATGAGTACACTGGAAGCTTTCAGTGTTTCATCAAACACATGTGCTTCTATCTAATGTCATGGCCTGAAGTTAGCTGCCACCAACTAATTTCTCAGGCCACAGGGCCCTCAAAAGCCAGGCCACTATACATCACTTCCTGATTTAGGAAACTCGTACTTCCCAATGCCTCCATATGAACAGTGGGGCATGAGCTCCGTAAGACTAGTCTCAGCAGTTCTTCCAGATACCAGATGCTGGCCCACAGACACTTTGCTACCTGAGCTAGGGGTACATCCCAGGCACTCCTGAGAAAATCAATCTCAGCTAGCCTTTCCACAGCACTTTATTACTTAGCCCAGGAATTCCAACAACCCAACACTGTTTGCCTTGTAACTTCCAAAAACATCTAAAATGTCATATTCAAAAATGGCATCCTTCCCTCTTTTTCAACATTGAATGGATTTATTCTTAGTTTTTATCTTTTCACTTCAATGAGCATTTTGCACATATGGGCAGGAAAGAACCTGTGATTCTGTCCACCATCCTAAATGAAAATCTCCATAGTATACCTTTTTCTTATTAAGCTAATATTTTCTTCTGGAAAAAAAAAGTGGGGTGCTGGTATAGTTTGTCATAGAAGCCTTTTAAGGGAAAGTTGAGCTGCATGCATAGCTGGATACACAGGTAAAGAACAACTCTGACATCAAAGCATGGGACCACCATGGGTCCCTCTCTGAGACTGCCTAGCTTAGAAATCAGTGGGTGGAGACTCAACCAACAGAACCACCCTTTGTTCATTCATTGCACAGGCTGTTGTGGTATTGGAATGCTTGCCCTAGTCCCAACTGAGGAATCTGGACTTGTCATTTTTTCCCCCCAAATCATCTCTAAATTTCTAAACAGAAATGGATTAACAGAGCTCTACCACCTAGGTTTCTCTGACCTTAGCAGGCCCATTAGTCAGCAGGCAAATAGCTGGTTGCTGAGACTCCTGGGCTCAGCCAACACAAAGCACCAAGGGTTCAAGTATCCTTAACTGCAGCACGTTGCCTAAAACACTACCTTATGTGGAATCCCTAATTTTTATTTTTCCCCCTTTTCTTTAATGATTTGTATATCCAGTGGCATACTGTGCTGCCCTAACTCCTTACCAAAACCCTCTCTCAATATTTTCCCATTCAGTTTCTATAACAATCCAAGTTCATAATACTTAAAAAGTTAGCTCTTACATGACTACATTTTGTTTTGTACCTAGCATGGTGCCCAGCACTGGGCACTCTGTAAGCAAATGTCAAACTGATAAGTTAACTTTTGGCACTGATAACAGAATAGCAGGCATAGATGTGTCATTAATGACTGTCTTCTACAGCTTCCTCACTCTTATTGCTTAAAAAAAAACCCAAAAACTAAGATCATAGTATTTATAAATTGTCCAAGGTCAAAATCATGGGCAGTTTTCCAAAACCCATTTAAATGCTCTTTCCATTATAAACTGACTGTGAAAAGGTAAAAGGTTAAATCTTTTTTAAAGGCAAGCATTAAAAGTGGTGATTAGGACAACCCCCTTGGGTCTCCTCCCACTGTGGGAGATTTTCTATCCTCTAATAAATCCTGCTTTCTAAAAAAAAAATAAAATTGGTGACTAGATCTCATATATTCTTCTAAGCCTCCCTCCACTCAGCAAAGTTGCTAGGCCTTTAAAATATCTCCATCTATTCAAACTGTTTAAAATGTGCTCCAGATGCTTACTCACCACCAACTCCAGATTTGGGAATCTGAGAAGGAAGCTAAACGATGTATCTTTATCTGACCTGTCCTTTTTCCATAGGCCTGAATAGAATCTTCTCAATCAGATCTCTGGAGGTGGGTTACAGTGTACCTTAAAAAAACTAGGGAATAACAATGAAGACTAATAAACAGCACACAGAAACAAGTACAAAATAATAATCTAGGACCTATGAAAAAGTTCTAAAGTCTAGAAAAAGAAAATAATTAAAAGTAAGCCCAAGATCTTTATACTATGACCCTATCTTATCAAAACCAACTTGTGGAAGATAGACTTGTTATTTCTGAACACATTTTTATTAGTCCTGATAACAAACAAAAATTAGGAGAGATAAGGAACAAAAAGCAGAAAGCAAAAACTGATACTTTCACTCTAGCTTTTGGTGAGATCTTAAATCTATTTAAGTAACAGTAAACAATGCTGTTTTTCATGTAAACCATTATACTAGCTAACATTAAGAATTATGTAAACTTCAGAAGGAACTTTCTTCAATAAGAGATGAATTTTAATCAGATACAACCTTATGAGTAATCCTCAGCCTAAAAAAAGTTTCAGTTAGAGTTTACCATTCATACTCTCCCAAATTTTCAAAAGAAAAACTTCTGGAAAAACAAAAGGTGCATTCTCACTTTGTTTAAATAAGGCTTACACATCAAATAAGGCAAATAAAATTTAGATTAACACAGGTTATGTCAATTGGTTATTAAATTCGCCGTTATTATTTGAGGTACAGAATTTAGAATATATTCTAAAAAATGCAATTAACAAATCCCCAGCTTCCTATGCTAAAAAATGAAAAGGACTGTACTACAAAAATGACATCTTTTAATTTCAAGTGTCCCATTTACTTTCAACAACCAAAAGTTTTGTTCCAGTTTTCATAAAACTCTAAATCTTTTGGAGACACACTAGGCCGCACAGTTCTAAAAGCATTATCAAAATCAATATAAGCTATTGGTCAAACTTGATCTGGTGTTATGGTAGCAATGTCAGCAGTTTGTAAACTATGAATAGAACCAAGAGAAGCCTCTCTGCAAATCTGTGTCATGTCTCTCCTGAGAACCCATCAGACTGCTGCACAATCTGTTCAATTTCTTCTTCACTGAGGCAAGATTGCTCCTTGGACATTAGATTAATGACTATCTGTTTCCTAGCTGAAGCTTCTGGGAGGGGAATATAAAGCCTTTTCACCAGTCTTCTCTGAGTAGCCTCATCAATTTCTTGTGGCCAATTTGTGGCTCCCACCACTAGAATATGATCTTCAGAAGACGTAGTTGCTCCATCTAACTGTACTAAAAATTCCATTTTTATCCTTCTAGAAGATTCATGCTCACCATCTCCCTGGTGAGATAATAGGGGATCTATCTCATCAATAAATATCACAGCTGGCTGCTGACACCTTGCAACAGCAAACAATGCACGGACCATTTTCTCCCCCTCACCTACCCATTTGGAAGTCAAAGATGAAGCAGAGATGCTAAAGAATGTTGTACCTGATCGACTAGCAATGCATTTGCCAATGAGAGTTTTACCAGTCCCAGGAGGACCAAAGAGCAAAATTCCTTTAGATGGTCCCCATAAACCAGTAAAGATGTCTGGCCTCATCATGGGCCACGCAACTATTTCCTTTATTGTGACTTTAGCAAATTTGACTCCTGCGATATCATCCCAATTTCCTGGTGGTCCATGATCCATAATCTCATTCATAATAAGTTCAATCATCTTTGGCTCCACATTCTTCAGGCGCTCATCAACTGGATTGCTGGTTCTGCAGGTCCTGCCCCATAAGGCTTATACTGCATTCCTCCATTCTGCTCTCCCCCATCTTGTTTAGGTATAGGAGGAACAAACTTTCCAAATATTCCTCGTGATCTATTAGCTCCCAGGGCTTTTTTTTACACCACTATATGAAGACCCTGATAAACAGTGGGGTTGTTGGAACTTTTTTTGCTGATCTACCCATAATTGCTCTTTTGCAGTTTTAAAAGTAGGCAGGCTGCTGTCCTCCTTTTGACCATTATCTTCTGTTTTATGAAAAGCCTTATTCATTATTGGATTGGAAAGTACATCAGTGGTACCAGAACCATAGAAAGCCTTTCTTTCCTGTGGATTTTTCACAGCCAGCAGGAAAACAAGATTGATTTGATAAGGACACATTTAGTCCTACGTTGCCTTTTGGAGAGATGTAATTTTCCTTTCTGCCATTTCCAAATAATGGTGTGGCATGAAATTTTGCAATGGCTGGCTCACCTAAAGGTGTTGAGAATGTAGGATAAGTCTTAGTGGTGTTAGTCACCATAGGTGGCTGGGCGTTGGAATAGTATTTCAAAGGATTGCTCTCTGGGAAGTCTTGGGTCCTATCTGTATCATAAGTTGAGTTAGGTAAAAGGTCACCCTTTCCAGAACTGCCACAACTACTAAATTTAGGAAGAGCATAGACAGTGGCCTCCTTATGAATTACCAGTGATGCATCAGTAGGTTCCAATAAAGAGTCTTTAAATTTTTTGCCAGCTTGCATCAACTTCTGTATACTACTCATTTTGAAAACATTATTTATTGACAATCCAGACTGCCACTTCTCACTGTCAGTTTGTTGAGATCTTGCCAAAGTTAAAATGTTTTTTGCATAGTTATTAAGGCCAGATTCAACATTGTCAGAATCAACAATTGCAGAATATTTCTCTGCATATTTTTTGAACAGTTTGGTAGCACAGACCTGGGAGATCTCAGAGTTTGCCCATGCATACTGAATGTGTAATATTGGTGCATGGTATGCATCTGCCTTCTGTTCTGTACATATGCCAGATGTAATTGCAAAGTAATTCTTCTGCCATTCACTCAGGTGCACAGACCTAGAGTTGGAGGTCTGCATTTTAGAGGTTCTATAACAAACAACAAAATCAGTATCAAGAAAAAAAGATATAGAACTTTAAACATGCTTTTAAAATATTTGGTAATCTGAAGGCAGGTACATCAAACTTTTCATTTATAAAGTAAGTGTATAAGGATAGATTACTTGGTAAGAGAAATATCTAGTTAACCACAGATTTCAAGTATTCAAGACAAACTGTATAAAGTCTTCAAGATTAAAGACAACTTTTTATGGTTAAACTGGTTTAGTTATATAATAATTTTCCCCATGAAAAGGAAAACCATTCAAAGCTTAAATGAAAGGGATTTAAAATTAATCAGCAAATGAAAGGTAATATGGAATATGGATAAACAATGCAACTATAGATACACAAACCATAACAAACGAGAAGTCTGATCTCTAAGAGAAATTAGATGAATGATCGCAGGCAAACTATCACTGAGACTTCACTATTCTTATCTATAAAGAGAGGAACCATTTTAACAATCAAGTAATGAATATGAAAATAATCTAAAACTTACTTTCATTATCCCTATTGTGCAAATGTAGAAACTGAGGCTGAGAGTTAAGAAACTTACTTGAGATTACACAGCCAGTTATGAGTGGTGCCAGAAATCGAACACAAGCAATTTCACTCCAGATTCAGTGCACTTCACCATGTACACAATGCTCCTTGACACTGCCAGCCTAGGTCACAGATTGAGCAGCATGGATCATAATATGAACTATGACATATTTAAGTATTTTAATGACTTATTCATAAGCACCTAAAACAGAATGCCCCAAAATTTCTCACAATTTCCCAATTTCACATAAAGTATTAAAAAGTGAAATTATTACA